ACTCCATCATAGAAGGCCACTAGGTTGGTCAGGCAGGACGTGCCCTTGGTGAAGCCGTGCTGACTGTCCCGAATCACCTCCCTGTCCTCCATGTGCCTTAGCATAGATTCCAGGAGGATCTGTTCCATGATTTTCCCAGGCACAGAGGTGAGGCTGACAGGTTGGTAGTTCCCAGGGTCCTCCTTTCTACCCTTTTTAAAAATGGCTGCAAGTAAGAATCAAGTAGGGCCAGTCCTGTAGCCTTGGGGTGGAAATTTCTACTGACTTCAAATTTTGCTTGAAGAAGTGCTGTCCAGTTGGATTTGACGCCTATATTGTTCTTGTTCTCATCTTTGTAGTGTGGGGACAGCTATGGAATGGAAGTAGATATTTATGCACTGGGATTAATTTGGTTTGAAATTCTTTCGGCATTCAGCTCTCAGCATGAGAGAAGTAAGGTATGTCATCTTTAAATTAAAAAAAAAAGTCTCAGTTGTTGTTTTGTCTTGCTGGTATCACATGCTAATTGCATGCTAGAAGGAATTTGTATATCTAGAGTACTGTCTCTATTTTACATTTTCCCCTTGATTCATTTCTGTAAGGCCCCTAAGTCCTCAACCCTCGGTTGAAATGTAATAACTGAAGTAAAGAAATATTACTGGTTTTATTTCACTTATGTCCTATTGACATACACATTAAAGCCTGAGCACGCTAAGGAATAACATCTAGCAGAAAAGATTGCAAGTTTCTGATAAATCTTTTTGTTTGATGAGAGTATTTGAAGGGAATGTTTTTCTAATTTTAGAAAATACAAATTATGAATGGGAGAGTTTTGTCTCTGCCACGCTCTCATCTTCACTGCACAGTGGAGCAGGAACAAAGTTTCTATAAAGGCAAAACACTTGCAGTTTTCCAAAATGAAAACAAAAGTGATTTGGAATATGTAGCTTTAATTGAAAAAGATGTTACTTCAAAAAGAAAACGAGCATTACTTAAGCTTTTTTTGAAAAGGTGTATCTTTTATGTGTCTTTTGCTTTTTCTTGGTACTTTGCACATAATTAGTGTAACGGTTCGTATGCTCAAACCTATTTGTAGGACAGTGATGTAGCTGCTGAGTATCTTGTCTAAAGTAACTGTAAGATATACGTACGTGGTTGGACCCAGAAGCTCTTGGACGCTGTTAGCTTGATCCTTTGGCCAATATGAGAAAACCACAGCACTGTGTCTGCTCGACTCGCAGGTTCAACGTGGCTGTTTGGCTACCTTGTAGTATTTTCTAAGACATCTTCTTCCTGCTCACAGCTGACTGCAAATGTGTGCACAGTCCCATGGTGTTTACAGCCAAAAGGGCAAGACCAATTATTTAGTCTTCTTTCCTTAACGCATAAAAATCTTTTTATAAGCATATAATTAGAAATCCTCTATATCCTTTGACCTCCACATAGCATTTTCTGCAGTGATATAGAAATAAGTGTGTGGTACTGAACAAGGTAAAAGGGAGGAAGCACACCTGCTTGGCTTGCAAATAGTAACATCCAAAGTAGGAAATTTAGTTGTCTTGCCTTTTTTTTTTTTTTGTGGTAAGAGGATATAAACCCACTACTTTTACATTAAGGAAAGAAGGATAATGGTTCTGAAAGAGAGAGGATTGCTAAAACAAACATATCTTTATAGAGTGTGAAGCTTTTAAGCTTAAAAAGGGACAACAGTTGATGAAAAGACCATAAAACCAAAACAAAGTACAATTAAATGGAAAAAGCTTGCAAAGTGTTTACAGTTACTTTCTTTTTGAATTTCAGGTATGGCATACTGTTAGGGACGGTAAACTTCCAGAGGGCTTCACCAACAAATTTCCAACAAAGGTATGGGATTTTAATACATTATTTCAGTTAGTTTATTTACTCATAAAAAACAATTTATTGACATTTAATCTCTTTCTGCAGGCACCCATAATCAAAAAGATGCTTTCAAGAGACCCTTCAGGAAGATACTCTGCATCTGAAATACTTAACTTTCTTAAATCTGTTGATGAAGACAACTCATTTAAAATTCATACTCGGTAAATGCCCTTTCAAAAGGCCTTCAGACTGTGTTTAAATCCAGAGTTTGATGTCTGTGGAAACTGATGAAGTAACAGTAAATGTCAGAAGCAACACCAAGACCTGGGGTATGTCTTTTCCTTGGTGTTTCACTCTTCCTGCCATTGAAGAGCTAGTCAGCCAAAAGGGTCACATCACCATTCACGCTCGTCAGCTGCAGACCAGGACAGCATACTTCTGCAAGCAATCACTTGCGATTTTTACCTGAAAACACAGGTTGTGGATGAGCTGAACTATATGGTACAATAAGTACAGGAACCTAGTCCTCGTCTGCTAGACGATTACGTTGACGTGGTGCTAACTGGCCTGTGGCAAATCCCTGTATGCATGCTCTTACCATGTGCTGCACCCGTTATCAGTTCAGGTTATCTATTGCTTTCTATGGAAGAAGTGCTGTCTCGGGGTACGTGACTCAAACCTTTCTGATTTGCTCAGTGATGTTTTTAATAATTACTAGAATGCTCCCATGAATACCAAGACTAATTTTGGTAGAAAAGAGACTAGGAATAGGTGTGGGTTATTCTTCACTGAATTTCAGTTCTCTAAGGTGAACTTTCTTATCTCTACGCACCTGTTGAACACCTAGCACCTTCAGTGCTCTAGAATTTAAAAATACATACTTTTAAAGTAAGCATTCCTTGAGAATTTAAATGTGAAGCATTCAGCTTCTAGGAAATCTAGTATAGATTTGTTCTAAACTTTTGAAAACCTTAGGTTTTGAGTTTGTTTTTTTTTTTTTTCCTGAAAGGAACACTTAAGGTGCTCTTAATATAGTTTTCTCAGTAGTAACCATTTGAAATCCTGAGCTGAGAGAGCACCTTAAACATCCTCTCCCATACTGGTAGCTTTTAATCCCTTATTGTAATACTGAGGCATGCCTAACCCTTAACAGGTGTACTGAACACCTCTGCTGGCCTTACTGTCAGGCCCAAAAAAGGTAACAGCAGTTTGCCTATTACTCCTTAGTTATTTACTTCCAAGAGTTCAGACTTGCCTGGACTGGAGGAATTGTGTGTGTGGTGGTGGGGAGCAAGGAGAAAAGACAGGCACATTAGTCCTTCAGATGCTTGTCTTTGAGATGTATCTTGTCTTAACTATTCATTGCTGAGGAGGCCACATAAAGGCAAATGAGCAGAGGTTTCTAAGCAGAAAAATAACTACTACGTGTAGTAAAGCACCGTAGTTTTTTTCTGAAATGTTAAATGGGTTAAAAGTGGGTGCTTGGTTAAAAGGAAGAATATAAATGAATGCATAGTAATTTTTATATTCTTATGGTAATTATTGCTGATCTGCTGCAAGTATTTGTGGCTAAATAAGAATCTGATTTTACATCTGTTTGTAAGGCCTGAAGTTGTTTTTTTCTCCTTATCATGGATCACAAATACATAGAGCATTTCACTATTCTGGACTCATTAGTGTTTCTTTGCAGTGGTCAAGATCTGGGAGAAATAATATCTTGACACAGACAAAACACCACTAGTTCCACTTCCTCTTCCCTTTCACCCATAAAACTACTCTTACCATATGAAAATGGATATCTGACAAACTTTGGCTGAATATCCTTTACAGTTCTTGGACAGAGCACCTGTAATACCATTGCCTTCTTACTGTTAAGTAATATTGAGCTTGTCCCAGTAATTTGTGATACTTTTTTTTTTTTTCCCATGGTATTTGTGTACTTCAGCAGTACCCTTCTATTAGGGACTGTTTACAGTACTGTTTACAGTAGCAACTGCTGTTCCTGAAAAATAAGAGGTCTATTAAAATGTATTTTTTATACAAAACCAAAAAACCAGCAACATGATCTGGTACTATTTAGTTATGCAAAATACACGCATTAACAGACAACAGAATATTGGTTCAAGTAATGTATGTCACTGTAACGTTTCACAAGGATTTTTTTCCCACCAGGTCTAAAATAGTAAGGAAAAAAAAAAGTATGATGTTTACTCATCTCTGTAAAGATGAAAAAAACTGTTTAACACATTATAGAACAGAGTAACTAGGCAATATTTGTTCCCTTACTCAAACGTGAATTTTATTATCAGCTGATCTTGTTCAGTTGGGCAGGGCATATAACCAAAGACTGTGGAAGGCTTAACCTGCCTCTCAATTATGGTAGTTCAATTATAAATGCAGTTTTAATTCCTATTAAATTGTGCATCAAGCAGAAAATCTATAACAAGCTTCAGAAATGTGAGTTTAACCTGTCAACATAACTTTTCTTCTACATACTTTGGTGTGAATTCTTCAGTATGGCACAGCTCCGAACCTTCTAAAAGATATTATGAACGATACATACTTATCTAGCACTCCTTCCTATAGAAAGGCTTTAGTCATGATCTGCAGCACTGTCTCCAGGGCAGTTTGAAGATAAATCTTCAGAGTCTACAGGATAAGCAGAGGAAAAAGTGAATAACTCCAGCCCAGAGGAGGGGAAAAAAAAAAAAGTTGCTAGAATTATTTGAAGAATCCGTGTAAAGCAGATTAAATAGAATTCAAGAAGGTTTGCAAGTTACTAATTCCAACCTTGGTTTTAAAACAGTGAACACCAATTCTTCCCTCGTTGATGCAGTGGAACTGGATAGTGTCCTAACTGTTTCAGAAACACCTGCAAGCTTTCACAGCTTTTTATGGTACTAGTTTAAATATCTGAGTTTTATCAAAACAAAATTAATATGAATACCAATTCAAATAAATGCCAGTATGGTCAGTTGTGTTTTTTGGGTGTTTTTTTTTTTGTTTGTTTTTTTTTTTTTGTGCGTGCATGTAAACACCTAAAAATTAGTTTAACAAAACCTACAAAGCTTTGTGCAAAACCCAGCAGTCCTGGAAGGAAAATGTTTCATGTAGATTTAAAAGACTGCAGTAAGAGAAACAGACTATTTGAGTCTAGCTGCATAAGCAAAGTAAAACACTTACAAAACAGGTTTACTCTTACCTTCATAGGTTGTTCCACACCAAATGCAATAAAAGTGTTGTTCTCTCAAATAGGCAGTCAGGATGTGTAGCTTTTCTGATACCTAGAAGATATGTACAGGTATGTAATGATCTGGGGCTCACATGACATAAAACAGTTTGAGCTACTAGCTTTGCTAAAATACATCATTTAACCTGTTGCTATGGAAAAGTTACACGATACTGTAGCTCCGTAAGGCATGAAGTTTCCCAAATTTGTAGTGTATGGCACAGGAATTCATGATCTCTGAAAAGTTAATGGCTGTTGTTTGCTCATCCTTCTTTCCAGCTAAGAAATCTGCACTGAAGAGAGAGCTAAAAGTATTACCTAGCTACCTTATTTCAAGTATATGATATTTTTGGTGGAATTTTTCACACCTAATCTCCACGAATCAAACACATAAGGCTACCAACAGCTGTGTAATCTAGTTGTCAAAAAATGTGAATTTCCAGTGTCCATTTTGAGATAATCTATGAAGCATTTTCAGAAATTACTTAGTGATTCTAAAATTCAGCCTAAGACATGAGATGAGGCATCCAAAATTAAAACTCGAAAGCAAATAAATTTGATCAAATACGTGATCTTGCATATCTGGGCTGAGACACAAAAATGTTTAGAAACATTTCAAAACAGATGAGCAATAAATCAGTGGTTTAATGTTTTATGTTTTGTGTAACTGCTATAAAAATCACTGCTGTAGGATTGCAAAGAGGCCATTCACTACAGCTTGGAAAATGACATGTATACATATATCCTTTATACATGTATATATGTATACATACATACTTTTTAAAGGAATACTAAATTTAACTCTGAATCAAGCCATTAATTTAGTTGCAGAGCTTACGCTTAAGTCTGAGCCTGTGCATTCATCTTCCTTGTCTTCCTCATCCTTTTTGTCTTCCTCTTCAGGTGCTAGCCAATACCAAGTCTCCTTGGGAACATCAATATCCTTAAATAATGAAGGATTTAAATGAAAATTATCTGCCTTTGTAGGTTTTCTTGTGGGATAAAGACAATTTCTAATAGGTGAGATGTTAGGTTTTAAAACTTTTCTGTATACTGTAATCAAGAATTACTAAAGCTGTAGTGGGAAACTAAGTACAGTGGTCCACAAGAAGGATTATTCACTTTTTTTTACAAGTAAATGCATGCCAACGTTAAGTTCTATTCCATCTATGTTCAGTGTGTGTAAGGCTACACAGCAACATAATCTCACACCAAGGCTGTGAACAGATACCCTTTTTTATCAGTTGAAGACATGCTGCCCCAAGTTATTTTATCAAGACGTCACACAGTGCTTCCTAATCCACCTCAGGTAAAGGAAGAAGAGTCAAAAAAAATGATCTAAGCTAATTCAGCCGAATCCATTTGAAGCAGACTAAGGAGTATCAAACTATATCAGCAGAACTTGTGGGGTGTTACTAACCTCTAACAGGTTAATAGAGAAAAGAAGAACACTTGAAGTTTTCAAGTGGCAAAAATTTATAGTAGTTCACGGCTATTAGTACTGCTATTATTCCATGCAGGTGAAAGGTACTTTGTTTTGGGTTTGTTTTTTGTTTAAATGCTTCTTTGGTGAATCTGCTGATTCCCTCAATGATGATCCCCATCCTTGGAGATACTCAAGAACTGTCTGGACATGGTCCTGGACAACCTGCTTTAGGTGACCCTGCTTGAGCAGGAGGGTTTGACAAGATGACCTCCAGAGTCCCTTCCAACATCAACCATTCTGTGATGATGTTGCTCCCTCACTTGAAGCAAATGGCACCGTCATTTAGGACAGCCCGACTTCGGCTACTGAAAGATACGCAAACAGCTCAAAAATAACCAGAAGAATGCAGGAGCAAAACCAGGCGAGCTCTGATGATGCAAATTAACATGGGTCCTCACATAAGTTACCGTGAGGTTGGTGTACACCTTCAAATATTTTAATGGTGCAAGCATATACTTTGAAATATTTTAAGAGGACTGAAGTGCTGCCACACATCAAGACTTCAAGCTAGTTATCCCACAATTCTAGAGAACTTCCAAGAATTGAATCATGACTTTGTCTGTAGCCTGTATCTTTAACCTATAAGCCTTCCTTCCAACCCCCAAAAATACAGGTCTCACTTTTTGCATATCTAATTGCTGGCAGGCCCTCTGGCTTTTTCGGAGGTCCCCTTCCATCTTACGTTCTTCTTGTTTGGTTTTGAATCTTACTCTGTTAAGAAAAAGGAGATAGCTAAAATAAGCAGGTAGACAAACAGTGAGATGCATTACAGCCGATAGCTTTTCTATAATAGAAAATCTAAGATTCTAGCCCTACTAATTCTCTCAGACCAGGGCACCACTGAAGTTAAGAAGTCCTTCTGACATCGTTGCTGTGGGAGCACACGTGTATTTCTTGGGAGTTATACCTTCAAGACAGTGCTTTTTTGATCACACTACACTGAACACTGTTTCTTCACCAGATTTTCGTAAGACATGAAAAAAGTGGTTCACTAAACATCTGCAAAAGATACAGCCTTCCCTAGGCTTTCCTTCTCCACATATAACAAGCAAATGAGAAGAAAATAAAACCAATCAAACCTAAACAAATTTACCCTGATTTCTAAAACCATTGTAGCAACGTTGCTCAGGATTATCTGCGGATTTTATATTAAAAAAAGATGGCACGGTTCTCCGATTTAAAAAGTTGCAAATGACTTGAGAAAACTTATTATGTATATTGTTTGCATTATTAACATTTCCTTTTAGCATTACAGTGTTCATCTGCTTTTGCTTTAGAACTGAGAAACAATTACTCTGTATTTCAACTCTTCCCTCTCATTCAAAACATTCAAAAATAGGAACACATTAAAAGAATAACCACGCTTAAAGCATAAAAAGAATCGTTGTTTAGACACTGCTTGGAATATCAGTTACATCATTTTACCTGAACTGATCTGCAGCTTGTTCATTTGCTTGTCTTTTCATATGGAGTTTTTGTCTATAGTTTTCCAGTTTTTCTTCAGCTTTTCGCTTTTTTAATTCCTCGTGACCAAGCCCACTTCTGCCTAGGTGAGTTCAAAAGATGAATGTAAGCAGTTGAGAAGCTCTGATACCCAACTAAGTATATTAGGAAGTATCACAAACCTGTTTTTATGTTCAGAGGAATAGGTTCAACAATGCCTTCTCCTGTGAGGGAAAAAATAGGTCAATTTAAGAAATCGGGTCTTTCTCAGACTACAATTTGTGCAGTATATTCCAGTAGGCAAGCTGCTTTTGCCATTAAATACGGACATTTTCTTGTGCTTTTGTTGCTTGGAAGTTGAAAAATCCCAAATCAATGTACATTTAGGGCACTACAAATGACCCAGCTCAACTGGAACTCCCTTTTTTGGCTTGTTTGCTGGATTGCTATATACTTTTTTCAGGATGCTACCCAACTGAAAGAAAATGGTGTTGACTATAACATACCTGTGATGAAGTTGCTTTGTTACAGCCCTTCTGTAGCATTTTTCATTCTAGAATCTCACAACTTGACCAAGATGAAGAATAAAAAGAATCTGTCTGGGCCAGTTCATTTGCTGATTGTCTGTTAGGGACACACTGAACTGGCACACCAGTTATTTTTGCTTTGGTTTACTGACTTTACTTCATCTATTAAGGTTTCATAAGGGTAGGCCAGTGTGCACCGTTTCTTCTTCAGAATCCAACTATAAATTCAAAGACAGGGGCTGACTTTTTTTAGAACGCTGTTAGCTTTGCAAGACCATCAAAACACCCTTTAATGCAACTCCTGTAGGCATGCACATATGGAACTGCATTTACTGAGTGGCAAGTACTGCTGCTTCCCCCGCATCTCTCAGTTTTTAGAGATTTGCTGTCATCTTTTGTTCTGCCACAACATGTTCACAGTTCTGGAATGCTTGGGCTCTCAGAGAGGCATTTATCGACCCTGTCTACAAATGAAGTGGCAGCTACAGTCTGTAAAATATAAAGGTAGACCTGAATATAGGCGCACACTTCCAGACAATGACAAGCTTACCGCTTTTGCCAAGGGCCTGGCCGCTCTTGTAGCCCATCTTCTGGAGCAAAGCAAAGCCTTTGTTCTCATTGCCCAATGCACTTTTCAATACCAAGTCACGTCTCTCTTTTTCTTCTTCTTTTATACTCTTTTGTCTGTTCTTCTCATTAGCTTCTTTTTGCTTTTCTTCTTTCTGAATAGCTTCCTTCATCCGCCTCACCATGGGCAAGCCTGGCCTTACATCCTGTCTAAGAGTTAATAATTCCAGCAAGTATTACCACTTTTTTTTTTTTTTTTACATGTTTACCATCACTTCAGAGGGAAAAGAAGAACCACCTACTTAATAAATAAATCAGACATGTAGTCTTCCTCTTCATCCTCCTCCATGTTTCGCACGCACGCCCTGCTCCGACCCCTTTCCTATGAACACCGTCAATACGCTTTATCACGCGTTTTATTCCTCTGCAGGTTACCCGAAACGCAGAACCCGCAAGACAAACCGGCCGCTCAGGCCGGCCGCAAGGGGTACGGCGCCGACGGACGAAAACACCTCAAGCCGGGGGACCCGCGCCCGCCCTCACGCCCACAGCGCGTTTTTCCGGGCTCCGCTACCGCCGACCACCGGCGGGCGCGGCGCCCCCCAACCCCCCGCAGCCCTC